TGGTAAGGTCTATGATGGTAAGGTCTTGCAGTAGCAGGTTTCCAACCTTTACCATATGCTATTATTTGAATGTATGGATTATTTGGTTCTGTAAAGGCTAATGTCTGGTGTTCAATAGTGTCTTCTATAACTGGTATTTATTCCTGGAGAGTTAAGGTAGAAGATTCTGGTATTAATTTGGATTTACCTTTTATGTCTTTTATATCTAAATCAGCTAATTTGGATATAAGTTGATCCATTAAAGTTTTATTATTTTCAATTATACGGAATTTATTTAATTCAAGAGGAAGTTTAAATGATAAAGTCTTTTTAGGTTCTGGAATTGGATTTGGCCTGATCATATTTTATATTCTCATAGTTTGTTTTCCTATGGATTGCATACATAAATTAGTATAGTTATTTTGTTCAATAATATGAGGAATTAATTCAGTTCGATGAACAATCTCTCCAGTTATCATTTTATAAGGAGTAGCTCTTGTTTCAGAAACAAGTGAACTTTCTCCATCATTGTTGGATCCTTTTATGACAACACTTCTTTCTGGAGGATGTATACTAGTTATCCTAGTACTTTCTATTGTTTGATATGTGGTATACTGGTTTTCTATAGTATTTATTTTATTATTAGTTTTTTAAAATTTGGAATTTCAATATTTCTTTCTATTAGTGTTCTTCTTAGCCATGTAAAAAATCCTATATTACATGTTTTTGATTTATATAGCTTCTTATATCTTTTATGGAATAATTCTATTAACCTGGGTTGAAATCTTTTTAAATACCATTCCCTTATTTCTTTATTTTCTTTGGAAAGGTAATCTTGTTCTATCCATTGTTTGGATAATGGTTTAGTGAGAGTTAAAATATGAAAATCCATTTTTGTATCAGAAAGGTCTGGTTCAGTTTTTAATGTAGGTTGATATTGTGGAATTACTATATTATCTTTTGTTCTTAATAAGCTTTGTATTTTTGGATTCATTCTACTTGAAGTAGAATGTCTAGATGATTCATTAATGAATATAGGTGATTCATTAATATTTTTTGATAATATAGGTTGACGAAATATACTTGTATCATCTTTTACTAATTGATTGGGAAATTGAATTTCTATTTTTCCATCTTGATGTTGGATGATTCTGTCGGGAATATTTCTATTAGGTGCTTTTAAATGATGATTTTCATTTTCGATATTCCAAGATTCTGGTAATTTAATATCGGACCATTGTATAGTTTTAGGAATTATTACATTTGATTTTTCAATATTTGTTTGGAAGAATATAGTTTTTCCTTTGGTATCCATTTGGACAGCATTTGGGCATAATGTATTCATTACTTTATAATATTTCAGATATATACAATAAAGGAACTTTTAAAGTAAAAGTAGGTTATGCAATAAAAACTGTAGAACAAACAGTATCAGTAACTAGTAATCAAGAAAACTTTCAATTATTATCAGATAAAATAATACAAGTACATAAAACCAAAAACTATAATTATTTACATATAGGATTAATCCAGGTAGCTATTAAGCCCTTAACAAGGTTAGGATTAAATAATTCTATCCTAGTATGCTTAAGAGATAATAGACACAATAAGTTTTCTTACTCTCTATTAAGGATGATAGAATCAAGTCTATGTAGTGGACCAGTATATTTTAATTGTTTTTCCGATTATTCAATATCATTAACTGATCCTAATATTTTAAACAATAGATAGAACAAGATTACCTTTCCAAAGAAAATAAAGAAATAAGGGAATGGTATTTAAAAAGGTTTCGACCCAGGTTAATAGAATTATTCCATAAAAGATATAATAAGCTATATAAATAAAAAACATGTAATATAGGATTTTTTACATGGCTAAGAAGAACACTAATAGAAAGAAATATTGAAATTCCAGATTTTAAAAAAACTAATAATAAAATAAATACTATAGAAAATCAGTATACCACATATCAAACAATAGAAGGTACTAGGATAACTAGTATACATCCTCCAGAAAGAAGTGGTCATAAAAGGATCCAACAATGATGGAGAAAGTTCACTTGTTTCTGAAACAAGAGCTACTCTTTATAAAATAATAACTGGAGAAATTGTTCATCGAACTGAATTAATTCCTCATATTATTGAACAAAATAACTATACTAATTTATGTATGCAATCCATAGGAAAACAAACTATGAGAATATAAAATATGATCAGGCCAAATCCAATTCCAGAACCTAAAAAGACTTTATTATTTAAACCTCCTCCTGAATTAAATAAATTCCGTATGATTGAAAATAAAACTTTAATGGATCAACTTATATCCAAATTAACTGATTTAGATATAAAAGACATAAAAGGTAAATCCAAATTAATACCAGAA